ATGAATGTAATAGCAACAGAAAAACTGATTGTCGAGTTTCGACTTGCAATTTCACATAGAAGCCTTTCTAAACGAGAATAATTTCTTGTGAATGCTTGAGATCTCGTCATTATTCTTGTTCTGAGATACAGCTTGAGTAAAAGCGTGTCTTTTTTATTACTAATATGTGACAGTAGATATGATGTTCTTATTTCACCGTAACAGTTTTTGTATTATACATAGGGTAGTCAAAAGTTCTGCAACTTTCAAATATTTCTTCATAGAGAAAACATTTTGCTAATCTTTTTACAGTAAATGTTAGAAGCAGTCCCCACGATGTTCAATACAAAATTTCATCATTTCAATGCATTTCTGAAATGTCTTTTGGTATTCGTGAATAGGTATTGAATTAAGCTCCTTGGTTGTTGCCGTAGCTAAACTTGTTGAAACTGGATATGTATCAAGACTACGTTTCAGACGATTGAACAACCAAAGGTCTGAAGGAGCAAAGTCAGGTGAATATGGTGGATGAGCCATAACCTTGATTTTTTCTTCTTGAAGATAATCAAGATTAAGATTAATATTTTGCATACATGGTTTTGCATTGTGAAGATGCAAATTTAATGCCAAGTTTTTTTTATGATGATCTTTTCTTGTATAAATTTTCGACTAATCTTTTTAAACATTCATCACGATAACACAAGTAATAGATATGTCGGAGATGGTAGCAATATAATCAATACTAATATGTAGATCATCATTCACCAGATCTTTAACAGCATCAATATTTTGTTGAGTGATGGCAGTTATTGGACAACAACTTCGAGGATTATCTTCCAAGGATTCTCGCTCATTTGAAAATCGTTGAATCCATCGAGCAACTGTACAATATGAAACTACACCATGTCCATAAGCAGTAGTTAATTCATCATGAATTTGTGTAGCTGTTAACCCTAATAACAAACGAGTTTTTACATATGAGTGTATGTACTGCTTTCCATCTGAAAACCAAGGGGTTCAAAAAATTCGTTGGATATTTACCATAATAAACATTTGTGAAACTTCGTATTGGTATTTTCATACACAAGAGATGTCACTACTAGAATAGGTCAACATGAGGAATAAAACCAACTAGGATGAGATTTTAGAAAGCGGTTTGCAGAACTTTTTGACTACGCTATGAAAACATTAAGATATATTGTTTGAAATCAATGTTTTTAGTTGGTTTCGTATCAGAGGTGCAAACAGGCCTCGTTTTTTAGACCTGTTCGGCCTGTCAAATTTTTCGAGCGTGTACAATTATGATGACAGACTAGAAACCAGAGGTCCAAACAGGGCACTAGGGCTTTTGCTCGACCCGGTCATGAACCAACTGTTATAGGCATCATCCATGGTTTTCTGACTAATGAAAGTGACAGGCCCAGACAGGCCAAAAATTGCTTGAACCTCTGACTTTCACTAGTCGAAAAACCATGGATGATGCCTATGACAGTCGGGTTAGGATCGGGCTGAGTAATAGACCTAATGCCCTCTTTGCATCTATGGTTTCTAGTCTGTCATCATTATTGTACTCGCTCGAAAAACTTGACAGGTTCTGACAGGCCTTACACGCCTAAAAACGAGGCCTGTTTGGACATCTGTTTCGTATTATCATGATGTAAATGCACAACTATTGATCGACTTATTTATATTATTCTGTTCTTACAAATATTCTACATGTAAGTGAAAGTTCCTATGATTATTTATTAGTTTATTGCCTCGTGTCCAACAAAATCGATTTAAACTTTTCAAAACAGATACATATATACCTCGAAATTCTTTTCAAGCCAGAGAGTCTGACTGGAAATTAGAGTAGCATTTTCATACCAATATATGCCTAGCTTTTAGGATTCTATGCTAAAAAACCTAAAAGGAGTGAAATCAACATTATGTCTGTGTTTTGAAAACTTGGACAATCTCTTTGTCAAAGTCTCGAAAT